GTCTCAGGAAACTCGAGGCAGAGGTCTTTCTCGCAGTTGTTGGCCATGGGGGCCCTCACTGGGCCTCGGGACCGTCAGCAAACGGCTCGGCATGAAGAACTGGTCCCAGGGAAGTGGTCGAGAGGTCGGGGGCCCGTGCCTCGAATTTCGAAGGCCCAACGGGCCAGAGGCGTGCTGAAATCTCCCGCACTAGTTCAATCATGTTTTGATAAGTCGCGCGCGCGTGGCGGCCCCAAGATCGCACTAAGACGAAGACGGTCCAAGACGGCCCATAAAGTCCAAGAGGGCCCTAAGACAGCCGAGAAGACCCCAACATGCCCAAAAAGATGCTCCCAAGACCCCCAACAGGCCCCCAGGAAGCCCCAAGAGGCCCCCAAAAAGGCCCCGAGAGGCTCCCCAGAGGCGGCAAACTGCTTTCGAGATGCTCCCGAAAGCCCTCCGAAAGGACACCAGGAGGCACCAAGAGGACCCTGAACCACAACCCAGGTGCATCTCGAAACTCTGTTAGAGATTGTTCGAGCCATCTTGGCGCTCTCTGGGGCAGTCTATCGGCTCGCTTCGACAGGGTGCGAGCCATATCTCCCAAGATCTCCTCGAGGACATTCCTGCCTGCCTTACCATTCCCCTGGGCATGATCACACCACCACGCAGCCAGTGATGCAAAATGGGTCGGCGGAATGATCGAAGCGATCCGCCGCCCCACTGGGTACGACGTGTGAGATCTCCGCCGCATGGTCTGCACGAACTCTTTCCCCTCAGTCCCTTGCCCGCGCACTCCTCGTACCCGTGCCTTTCCTCAGAGCCCTGGCAACTCCTCCTGGGGTCCTCCCCGCGGCCTGCTCATTCCGCCCGCCCGGGGGCCCGGGCTGCGGCTGGGGCGCCTTCTTGCCACCTCCTCCGTCCCAATACGACCCCCCTCACGCGCTCGGCTTCCGAGCGCCACCAGCCCTCCCAGACACCTCTCTGGGAGCTTACTGGGCCAATTTTGGGGGGCCTCTCGGGGTTCTTTCTGGGCTGATCTTGACCGCCCTTTGGGCCACCAGCGGCCGTCCCGGATGGCTCTCCACCTCTCTTCGAGTCTCATACACCAGAACACCCCAACAATACGATGATGTCCGTACTGGGCTGTTCCTGGCGCATCTCTTGGAGCTCCCGTGAATCTCCGCGGGCTCTTGCGGCCATCTTGGCACCTGCGGATGCTCTCTGCGGCCGCCCTGACAGCCTCTCGGGGCCCTCCACGCCCGTCTGGACTCCTTTCTGGTGCTGTCGTGAGCGGTCTTGGGCGCGCCCAGGGGGTCCCTGGAAGCCCGTCTGAGGCCCCAAAACTAATTGGCGATGCTCCTTTCTGCCTCTCTATATCCCTCTTCGGTTTCCTCCGCCGTTTTCGACACCTTTGGGTATCCTTTTCAACTTTTCCTGGCGGAAGTTACGCGGAAGCGTGGGGAGAGCGGATCTTGGGGCTCTTTTTCCTCCAACGCAGCTCGAACAAAAAGGCCTGCGGGCATATTATGAATTAGTGGCGTCCGAATCACACAAGATCCCGAGCATTTTCGGGCCCTCGTGGGGCTCTTCTCGGGCTCTTCTCCGCGTCTTCCTGGACACTCTGGGGCCGTGCTGGACCCCCCCAGCAGGAAACTCCGGGCTCCGACAGAAAGTGGGGCGGCGGTGTCTGCCCCCTCTCGGGGATGGACAGACCTCCCTTTAGTGAAACGTGGTTTAGTGAAAACGACCTGAGGCCCAAACCTGGCGGGCGCAAGCCTGGAAAATAACGGCCACGGTGCCCTCTCGAGAACCGAAAACGGACAATTCACTAATCGACTTGACACTGTTGGGGGTTCTGTCCACCCCCGACCCTCAGGGGCGTTCAATAGAATCATCGAGACGCAGGGTGTCTGGAGACCTGTGATGTCCCAATGTCCTCCGCACGGGGTCCCACGAAGTCCCGACCCTCTCTCTCCGGGGCCGGCTTCGGCTTCGCATCGCTGGTCGTTCCTGGACGACCCCGAGGCCCGACAGAGGGCCCCCCTCGAGGCCGCAGACGGCCAACAACCTCCCGCTGTGGTCCTGCCACGACGCCGGCCCGCGCTCCGATTGGTGTCGATGCGTGGACCCCCCGGGGGGTCTGGACAACTCCCGTGGGGGGCCGGCCTTTCGTCCTGAAGCGTTTCTGTGGACGGTCCCAGGGCTAAGTCGGGCCTGTCCCCCTGCAGGGGGATTTTTGCCGAAAAATAGAAAATAACCACAAAATAATAATACAAAAAATGCAATAATAGTCTGGGGACTATTTGGGGGGTATTTTCTTACCTTTTTGGGGTATTATTTTGGGGGTATTTTTTAGTTTTCGTCGAAAAGCCCCTTGTAGGGGGACAGGCCCGACTTAATCCCAGGGCCCGTTGAGGGCCCCTGGAGCCCGAACATGACCAAGATCTCGGGAGTCCGAGGCAGCTCACAGTCCACGCCAAGGGGCATTCCTGTCGCGAGCGTGCCCATGGCCGCGGAGTCCGGGCCCCCCGCTGCGATCACAGACCCCTGGAGCGATCTCCCCTGCATTGGCTGACCTCGGCCTTGGGCCCCGGTCTGGACGCCCAATCCGCCATCCTCGAGGATTTGTGAACGTTTTCTTATTCAGCGTTTCGACATTGGGCGGAAGAGGGCGGAGGGGGGGTTCTGGCTCTGGACCTCTGCTTAGCGCCCTTGTCTGTAACAGTGCGTCCGATGGGGGAGACTTCACCTGCTCGAAACAGCCGCCAAAAACAGCCCAAGATCATGGGGGGGGGAAGGGGGGTGCGAGGGCCCGCGCCGAGCGGCAAAACAAGGAATAAAAAAGCATCTGCTTCACCACTTCTCGGAGCCTCGGAGCTCTGGTGAGAGGCAACGACAGGGGGGATATGAATAGGGGGGGAACATAGACCTGGAATCGGCGATACATCGCCGAAAGATCGGCGATAGGACTCCTATAGTGAATCCGCACGTTCCTGGGCAGGCTGGGGCTATCGGGCCCCTATCGGCGATCAGTGGGAGATTGGGGGTCGATGCATCCCCCCCTATGCCTATCCCCCCCCCATGCCTATCCCCCCCCTATGCCTATCCCCCCCTATCGCTGTCGCGTCTGCTTCACCACTTCTCGGAGCCTCGGAGCTCTGGAGCACGTCTGGGCACCGTCGCTGCAGCCTGCCGCCTGCACCCCCGGAGAGCCCAGCATCGGAGCGACGAGTCGGATCGGCGATCGACGTGCATCGGATCGGCGGAGATCGGCAGCCACGTCGGGAGAAGTCGAGTCGGCGGAAATCGGCGGGCTGCTGGGCCTCCATTGAGAGACCGGGGCTCCAATCGGAACCGAGGTCGAATCGAAGCGGAACCGGAAGTCATCGGCATCGAAGCGGATCGAATCGGAGGAATCGGAATCGAAGTCGAAGGGATCGAGTCGAGTCGGAAGAATCGCTAGCCATCGAAACTGGCAGCGGATCGAAGACGGAGGAACCGACATCGAATCGAAATCGGATCGAATCGGAGGGATCGAGTCGAGTCGGAAGAATCGCTAGCCATCGAAACCGGCAGCGGATCGAAGACGGAGGAACCGACATCGAATCGAAATCGGATCGAATCGGAGGGATCGAGTCGAGTCGGAGGAATCGCCAGCCATCGCAACCAGCAGCGGATCAAAGACGGAGGAACCGACATCGAATCGAAGTCGGAGCGAATCGGAGGGATCGAGTCGAGTCGGAGGAATCGCCAGCCATCGCAACCAGCAGCGGGTCAAAGACGGAGGAGATCGAGCCTGCTCTGCAGGCCTGCGCGCAGGCCTGCGCGCCGCCAGGCCGGCGGGGGCCGAGCAGGCCGTGCCGGCCGGCGAGGGGGGGGGAGAAGAGGGCTGAGGGCCGAGGGCCGCCCCCAGAGGCCGGAAAAGCGAAACACCTCCCGTCGTGATTTTTGTCATGACCCGAGGGGGTCTGGGCACCTCCAAAGCACTGGAAGCCTCACTGCGACGGCCTTTCTCGCTGCAACCTCCGCCTCCTGGGGGCCCCCACACGCCAGGCCCGGGGGACCAGCAAGACACGACCCTGTGGCAGAAAGGCCAGCCCAGGGCCTCCTCCACCTTCTCCTCCTCCCCCTCCTCCTACTGCTGCTGCTGCTCCACCTCCTCCTCCTCCTCCTCCTCCTCCTCCTCCTCCTCCTCCTCCTCCTCCTCCTCCTCCATCCTCTCCTCCATCCTCCATCTCCATCCTCCATCCTCCTCCTCCATCCTCCATCCTCCATCCCTCCCCTCCCTCCTCCCTCCTCCCTCCTCTCCTCCTCCTCCCTCCTCCTCCTCCTCCTCCTCCTCCTCCTCTCCTCCTCCTCCTCTCCATCCTCCTCCTCCTCCTCTCCTCCTCTCCTCAGCTTCAGCATCAGCATCAGCATCAGCATCAGCAGCATCAGCAGCATCATCAGCATCATCATCAGCTCAGTATATCATCATCATCATCAGCATCAGCATCAGCATCATCATCATCATCATCATCATCATCATCATCATTCATCATCATCATCATCATCATCATCATCATCATCATCTCATCATCATCATCATCATCATCATATCAGCATCAGCATCAGCATCAGCATCATGATCATCATCATCATCATCATCATCATCATCATCATCATCATCATCATCATCATCATCATCATCATCATCATCATCATCATCATCATCATCATCATCATCATCATCATCCCTCCTCCGCCTGGTCCTCCCTCCCTCCCTTCTCCTCCTCCTCCTCCTTCTTCTCCTCCTCCTCTGACCCTCAGGGCCCGCCCCGATCTCCACGGTAGAAGAGCTGGCGGCGCGCACAAGGGTGCAGGGGGAGGGGGAAGGCTTCGTAGAAGGAGGCTGCCCCTCAGAAGGCGCCCTGCATCTACGGATAGGGCCCGCGCCTGCTAAGGAGCAAGGCGCTTCTAAAAAGGCTGCCACCCCTCCCCCTACCCCCCCTCTGCGCGTGGCCGACGGAGGGAGGCGCCTCCGGCTCCTCGCACGGCAGCACCCACGGCCCCGCCGCGGGCAGGTCTTCGCCGAGGGGCGCGTCCTCGCGCGGTCGCGGAGGGCGCGAGAAGGGAGGACAGGGTCGGCTCGGCAGGAGGGAGCGTCGAGATGCATCATGCCTCATGCTCCTCCTCCTCCCCAGACCCCCTGGAGTCATGAACACGATCGACCCACGAGCCCGGAAAGGACTATGGACATGTGAGGCATGGCAGCGTTTTCAAGACACCTGATTGGGCGACGGGCAATTGCAATGCTGAGTGTATCGATCTTGATGTACCGTACCAAGGGCGGTGCTGTGCTGTGCTGTGCTGTGCTGTGCTGGATTGCGATGTGTCATGCCGCGAGATTGCTCTATTGCGTTGTGGACCGAATCCTCCTTTGCATCCGAGTCCTGACCGAACTGATCCGGATCTTAAGCCCAAGCTGCCTGAGCACATAGTAGCTGCCCCAGAGCTAGTTGGAGTGGAAGCGTGCGGGACGTTCAATGAACTCGACCTTCAAATCCGACTCAGCTCCGAAAAGGAGCGACACAGCACGGGGCACAGGCTCACAGACGCGCCACAGGATGTGCCAGGGCCGCATGTAGGGGATGCGCCAGGGGGCGTGTCATGGGACGTCTCAGGGGACGTGCCCGGGACGTGTCAGGGACTCGCCACGGGACGTGCCCAGGCGCGCGCCATGGGGCGGCCAGAGGACGTCGTGTCAGAGGACGCTGCAAGGGGCGCGCCACGGAACGGGCAAGGGAAAGGCCTGGGGACGAGCCAAGAAATCGCGACAGAGGACAGGCCGGGGAGCGTGCCGCGCCAAGCGGCGTGCCAGGGGACGTGCCAGGGCACGCCGCGCCAAAGCGGCGCAAGGGACGCGCCAAGGGACGCGCCGTCACGCCACGGGGCGCCCGACGGACGGGCGGAGTTAGACTGCGATGCGCTCTGCTGCGGCAGGCGGTTCGCTCGAGACGTCCTCACGCTAGACATCCGCCTGGGCAACCTGGGCTGCACCCGAGGCGTGCTCAACTCCTCCTCGTACTAGACATCCGCCTGGGCAGCCTGGGCGCATGAAAACTAGCGTTTCGCTCGGGACACCCTGCCCAAACCCTCATGTTAGACATCCGCCTGGGCGACCAGGACACGTGAAAACAAGCGTTTCGCGCAACGCATCCTCAACGCGTCCTTACACCTGCGTGGGCGACCTAGGCATGCCACAACAAGCGGTTTGTTCGAGACATCCTCAACCCACCTTCATGTTAGAATTCGTTTGGGCGCCGTGGGCGCGTGAAACCAAGCGTCCCACTCGAGACGTTCTCAAGTCATCCTCATGGTAGACATCCGCCTGGGCGACCTGGACACGGGAAAACAAGCGTTTCGCGCAGCACATCCTTAACACATTTTCGTGTTAGACATCCGCCTGGGCGACCCGGGCAATGAAAACAAACGTTTCGCTCGAGACGTTTGCAACACATCCTCATGCTACGCATCTGCGTGTGCGACCTGGATATGTGAAACCAAGCGCCTCGCTCGAGACATCTTCAACGGACCCTCATGTTCGACACCTGCTCGGGCGACCTGGACGCGTGAAAACTAGCGTCTCGCTCGAGACATCCTCTACACATTTGCATGCTAGACATCCGCCTGGACAGCCTGGACGCGTGAAACCAAACGTATCGCTCGAGACAATCTCAAGACCTGGGCACGTGAAAACAAGCATATCACGTGAGATGTCCTTGAAATTCTGGCCCCCACGAGACGAACCATCTATAACCCCAAAAACGTTTCGCTCGGGACATCCCCAACCAATTCTGCAAAGAAAGCGTTTCGTTCGAGACATCTGCAACGAACGACAAGAGTCACGCCCGGGGCATCCTCAACTTTATAACTCGCCAGCCCTGACCTCGTTACTTCTCGGAAAAAACTCGACAGCCCCACGCAAGTTGAAGCCTCGCGGAAAGTTTACCGACTAAAAGAAAACTCGGGGCCCAAACCCTTTTCCCGAAAACAACTGCCTGGCCGCGCGGGGATAAGTTCACCTGAGTTCGGCAGGCCCCTGGGTTGGCAGACTTTACTCCGTTCCAAAGGTACATTGACCCCCCGCGGCACCAATCGCACGAACGTTTTACGCCGCCAGTGGCAGGAATGGAAGCACCCCCGCAAGAGACCGCGAGACATGCCGAAACAAGCTAATCTATCCCCCGCCTGAAAAGTGCGAGACCATTGAGGAGCACTGCCTGAGATCTACGAGCAGCCCAGACGCAGTCCAGGCGAGCCCGCTCGCCGGAGTGCTCAACTCGTCGATCTCGCCCGGTGATCTCATAGATCCGCTCTCCTGGGTCGGCTGCGCGTCGGCAGACTGCGCGTCGCCCGCTGTCGATATGCGCGCCAGCTGACCGGGTTGGGGGCGCGGCGACGCGCGCGTTGCGGTCGCCAATCCAGTCGCACCCCCGGGCTTGCCCGAGCGGAAGTGCACCGCCCACTTGCGTCCACCACTGCGTTGTTGTTTGTGACAGCGGTGCCGCTGAGGCTGTTGAAGCTGCCGGTGCTCCCGAGGCCTGCGCGGCTGGCGGCGCCCCCCCCCGCTGCTGGCCGACGGCCCTGCGACGCCGTCGCCGGCGCCGTCGGTGCTGCAGAGGCGCGCGCGCGGCCCGTGAGGTCGGCCATCTCTCGTCGTAGTCGTCGTAGTTCGGCGTCGCGTGGCGAGGGCGAGGACGATGGCGACGCCACTATTATAGCTGGGCCATGGTGGTGGCCAATGGGTTGCCGCGAGCCGCCCGACGAAGAACCCGGAGTAGCCGCTGGCGCTGATGGCCGCGGCGCGGGCGCTGCCGAGGTCGGCTGTCCGCCATTCCGAGGGGCGGCGCCCTGCAATGGATCGCCGATCCCGGCGCCCTCGGCCGCAGGTCGAGGAGCCCCGAAGGCGTTCCGGGTCATCCAGACTGCGTGAGCTCCCGGCACGGGCCGCTGCTCGGAAGGCCCCGACGGCCCTTGCTGCCCCGAAAAGCATGGCGAGGATGCCGATGCCGATGGTGGCGCTGGGGCGCAGGCGCCGAGGAAGAGAACGCGCCCTTGTCGGCGGCGCCGGGGGCAGTCGCGCACGAGGTGCTCCGCGGAGTCGCACTCGTGGCATTCTAGACGCACCCCGTCTGGACCCATGGGGTTGCCTTGCGGCCCGAACCCGTCCACGCATGCAATCCAGAACTACAGCTCCCCCGTGCGTTGGCCTTCCCGAGGCCCGCGAAGGTCTCGCGGAGGTCGTTCTCGGACGGGGTGGCGATGAAAGCGCGGTTGCTGTTGCCCTTGCCCATGTCCCCCCGTTTGATGACCCCCCGAGCGTGGCGCGCGGGCTCGCGGTTGTCGAAGTTGCGCCAGCGAGCTCGGGCGCGCTCGCAAGCCCAGAAGAGGCGCGCGCCACGTTACTCCGCGGGAGTGTCGCGTAGAACGGGGCCGTTGGCAGCTATCTCCTCGCCGCTGGCGGCATCGGCGTCGGCGCCCGGATCGATCTCCGCTGCCGGGCGCGCCCCCGCGTGCCGGCGGCGCAGCGCCAGAGGCGCAGCCTCCAGATGCGGCCTCGGCCGGTGAAGGGGGGCTCGGTGCCGATCCCAGCGCGGCGGGGCCCATGCCGCCCAAGCTCTGCTCCTGCGTGGGCGCACCCGCGAGGAGCGCGCGCCGTTGGGCAGCGTGGGCCGCCCAGGCCAGGTTGCCTGGCGATCCTTCTATACGTGCCCGAAGAGTCTCAGCTGGCCCGTCATGCGGGCGAGCTGCCGAGCGTTCGCGGCAGCGGGAGGAAGCTGAACCCCTCGTAGCCGATCATGAACTGCCCAGCTTGCTGCGCCCGCTAATGGAGGACGTCGAAACGCGCCAAGAGGTTGTCGTCGAGGCCGCAATCCGCCACTGACCAGATTATCTTTCACGCGCCGATTTCCGGAAAGGCACGCGAGCTTGATTCTCGGGCCCCCCAGGCCGATGAGTCGCTGAGGACACTTGCCTCGGATGTGTTCCTCCTCATCAAGGCATTGGGCGTCTGCTTCCGTCGCGTCGCTGGAATGCTCGCGGTACTCGGAATATCCCGCGACGCAGTCGCGGGAATGCTTTTCGTACCTCGTGCGGCCGCTGCGCTGAGCACCGCCAATTACACGATCGTCTAGAGGAGTGCGCACCAGGATCCCGTCCTGCCCAGCTGGCGAGTCTGAATAAATAAAGCGAAGGGTCGGGTCCCGCGGCGCAGCGCCTCGGAGCGATGGCGTCCCCGTCGTCATGCCCTCCACTGCCTCCCCGCTCGCCGCCGGCGACGTAGTCGCAGAATGCCTCTTCTCTGCTTGCTTGTCCCAGGGATCTCGAGGCGCAGTCCCAAGGAGCTCGGGGCCTTGTGCTGACGCCGCATATGTGCACGTTGCGCCGAGCAGCTGTTTAGCACCTGAGGCTACCTCAAAGGGCGGGGGCACGGACAGTTTGGGGTCCACTAGCTGCCAGGCCACATTCCGAGCATGCCCGGGATGCATCGCAAAGCGGTCCTTGTAGATCTTGGTGATGTTGTCCGAATTGAGGTACTGGTTGCACACGTTCCCAATCACTGGTCCTGCCAAAGCGAGGGGGAGGAACTGCACGAAAACGTTGATGCTGAAGGCGGTTGGCCCAATCGAAGGCGGCGGAGGGTGGAAGCAATTGCGGTCGACGCAAGGCGAAACATGGCGGCCGTGGTGGGAGCAGGGGCGAACCTGCTCCGCTAGAAACTAGATACGAAGATGTAGATATGAAGATGGTTTCCGTAAGCGGACGAAGGCGGAATGTACAATAAGTAGGAGGAAGAGAAGGAGACGAATGAGGACAGTGGAGCATGCAGCGTGAAAGAGGATTCAGGAGAAGGCATGAAGAGGAAGGAAAAGGGGAGGACATGTTTGAAATTTCCTTGAACGGCTCGTGTTGGCCAAGTCGCCTGTGCCGTCAGACTTGCTCCAGTATCAGACGCCAATATATCTGAAATGTAAGGGCAATCCTAATCGGTTTCCCTGGGGATATATATCTGGATGTGTCGCCGCTGTGGTTATGCATCCCC